ATACCAAGGAACATTTTCGTCTACTCCAACACCAGGGCTCTAATTGCGTCGGCATGGCGCCTAAAATTTTTGATTTGAGCCTAAAATATCTCTATTAGTGGCCAAATTGGCGACCATTTTAAATTGACTTGGCGATCGTGGAATTCCGGAACAATAGACATTTTCAAATTTTTCCCCTTCTTTTTCTGAAGAGGCGAAAAGAAATTTTAAAGTGGAGAAAATCATTTTCTAGTTACTGTATCTTCTACATTATTATTCCGACAAGGCGGTGGGAGCACAAAAATACTCTTGTCCCTCCACTTTGAAAAATGGAAGGTCCACTGGACACCCCCTCCCATGACTACCCCTCAAGGGTTCCTATATTTACTAATATCAGCTTTTCAAGTTGGCGCCTAAGGAAAATTTGCCCGGCGACTAAAGCTTTGCATTGGCAACTATTTTTTTTTATTAGGAGCCAGCTGACGCATATATAAATTTTAGAGGTCGCTTAGAGACCTGAAGACATGACACCTTACTGTTAAGGTCTATATTTAAGACCAGAAAAATGATTAGGCGGTTGATTTTTGTTGTTGTTGTTCAATTCACAGGCCTTGCTAAGGTTGGAATAGGGAAATAGTGGTATTTTTCCGAATCCTCTTTCGATTTTGTTCACAATAACATGACCATGACCTTTTCGTTAGGCTTCTCATTAGGCAAATCGAAAGTAATCTTTAAAGTCAATATTTTGCGAAATCTCTATAGTCCATAAAATGAATTTGTTTGCCAGTACAAATTTTCTTGAGGTCGTTTGTTGACTGGCGGTTTTTAAGACAATTTTAGGTCATTATTCTCATATTGAATTATGTTTTTTGAGTGATCCATACTTGCTCTGCTCTCAATTTGAATTTTTTATTGGGATTTTTGAGCTTGATTACTGTTCATTATCTTCACGTTTTATTCATATGATCAATTTTTTAAGTAAGAAGAAAAATAAAACATAAATAGCAAAATTGTTACAATGTATCTATGTTTCATTTTTGTGTCGCCTGCAGAGCAGAGCGACACATAGTGATCAAATTTACCCGGCGTCTGCCTGTCTGTCAGTCTAGCTGTCTCTCCGTCTGTCACACCTTATGTCTCGAGAACTATAAGGCGTATGGATTTGATATTTTGCACATATATAACTTCGCCCTATTGCTTTTGTAAAACACCATGGTAACTGACTCTTTACCTTTGAACTTGACCTTTGAGCTACTTTTCAAAATGATATATAGAGCCGATATACAGCTTATTTTTGACATTAAAGAGGTAAGTCTGTGTTTTTGTAGCATGTGCAATGTTTTTCATAAGATATTATTAAAAAATACCAGCATGACAGTCCATCTGACCTTGATCTTTGACCTTCTTTGCAAAATACTTCGAACAGTTTATTTAAAAGACTGTCCTCTGAATTTTGAGAGGCAGAGTTTCGATAATTAGCATATATATCACACGATATTGACTGCATGACACTGTATTTTGAAACTGTATTATATACAGTTTCCACACAAAATGAAAATTTTAAAATACTATTAAAATATATCGGGATCGGTATCCCCAAATGAGTCGCACTACAAATTAAGTTGTAGACTGAAAATTTCGGTAAAGAATGACTGACTCTAAGTATTGTGGAATAAACAGTGACAAATAAATTTTAATTTCTAATAGGCTTTCAATTTCATTATTCATTTTATCCTTGAGTATTTTGAATCATACTTTATTTAAATGTCACATTTTATATTCTACCGAAGTCTTTCTATCTGTCGATTTTCTTTGCATGTTTAAACATGAGCTATAATACTTGTAGCAGAAAAATAACTGACTACTCTTGGAATTATACACATCTTTAATGATGTTATAATGCAGGCGACACATGCCTTGGAACACTCTTTATTTAATCAAAATATAAAAACGGAATTATGATAAATATTAATAGATAGATATAGTTGAAGTTAGATAGACATAAATAAGATGGGCAAGATTTGGAAATACATTTTGGTATCAATTGCGCGCCGTTATCAGCAGACCTATTTTTGTATTCATATGAAGCAGAATTTATTCAAATTCGTGTATGTGAAAAGAAAAAAAACACTTCCTGTGGCCCTCACCTCGACATTTAGATATATCGATGACGTATTGTCAATTAACAATGGATATTTCCATTTGTCGAAATGATATATCCCAGTGAGCGTGAAATGAAAGATACCACAGAGTCTGACGCATCTGTTTCATATTTGGATATTTTACTAGAAAAAGACGTTAATAGTAATCTAACAACATAGCTTTATGATAAACGTGATGACTTCAACTTCCCTTACTTATGCAGCAATATGCCCTTGTCACCTGCATACGGGGTTTATATCTCTCAGTTGATTCGGTACGCAAGAGCATGCTCTACGTATGAACAATTTCTAAAATGAGGTAGGTTATTGACAAACAACGAAAGTTGATGAAAAAAAGAATATCAGCAGTCTCGTTTAAAGTCATCATTTTGTCAGTTCTATGGACGATACAATGACCTTGTCAGCAAATAAAATCTATCATCTGTCAAATGCTGACTGACGGTTTTCGTTGTTAGGCCATGATTTACACACAGAATTGTCGACGGATTTTCCCGTTATTTCCCGATCATGACAAGGAGCACACGGCGGGTGCTCACTCCTCCATGGCACCTGATCCCAACTCTGATGTTTTAGAGGTTCGTGTTTGCTCTGCACCTGATTTGTATTGTTTAATGGACTTTTTAACTTGAAGACTGTTCGTTATCTACATATATTTCATCTAAATGACGATATGATAGATATCAAATGAAAGTTAAAGAATAATAGCAATTCAATGACATGCAATTATTGCTGTTTTGTGGCAAATTCGATGATTTAGACACCTGAGGAGTATTATATTTGGACGAGGTGAATATTGTATTAATATGATTCAATGATTAAATGATACAAACTCATTAAGCAATCCGTGCTATCTTACATTTGCTTAAGTACTAGCCAAACAAAATGAGACGTACGGGGTTAAAATAAACATAACCAGTTGTATTTATTTGGAATTTTAAAACCTATTTTAGTCGCGATGTAGTAAACATTTAATCTACGGCACTTATATAGAATCGATATTAAAAAGGGGGGACGTGGGTTGGTTATAAGGCAAAAAAGACAAATTACCTGAAAACATCTTCGACAAGCCCTCCCCCCCCCCCCCAAAAAAAAAATACACTAAATCAAAAGTAGGTCAGAAAAAAATGTATAGGGAAGGGTCAGGCATCTATCCCTCAACCCAGTTTATATGTGCCTGAATGTTATGTTCACCTCAGTTGAAATCGGGTGCAAGTGAAATAACTTTCCAAACTACAAATTTGGAATTTCCCGATCAATGTAAAAAATAAATCCTTGCGTTCGCCTGGAAGGTCACGTGCAGGTGAACGTAGTATTTTTTCTATAATGTTAAATCTCAGCCAATCAGAGAGATAGGAATTATTTAATCATATAATAGTATTATGTATCGGCGCTTAGGTCAAGGATAATGTGTATATTTTATAAAGTATAATGGAGGAAACTCAAACTATATTCGTAACATTTTTTTTTCAATTCGATGTTTTTTTATCTTTCTGCTTGATATACAGTAGACTAGCACTGAAAAATTGGTATTACTCACGTATTAAAATTGACTTATCCCAACTGTATACTACTAGTGAGTAAATTTAGAATAGTTGGGATATGTCAATTTTAAAGCTTATGACATAATCTTTTGTCCTGTCTGCTTTATTCCACTGTTGTTTGTGTTGTCTGATGTAAGTCATTATTTGTGCTGTCTACTGTAAGCCGTCATTGTCCATACTGTCTTTTCTAAGCTGTTATTGTTTGTGCTGTACATAGTAAGTCGTTATTTTTGGTGATGTGGACAGTAAGTCGTTATTGTATGTTCTGTTTGCTGTAAGTTGTTATTGTTTGTGATGTACACAGTAAGTCGTTATTTTTTGTGATGTCTGGTACGTCATTTTCGTTTGTGCTATCTGCTGTCAATTGCTTTTGTTTGTGCTCTCTGCGCTGTAAGTCTATATTGTTTGTGCTGTCATGTCAGTTGTCATTATTTGTGCTGTCTGCTGTAAGTTGTTATTGTTTGTGCTGACTACTGTAAATTGTTATTGTTTTGCTGTCTGGTGTAAGTTGTTTTTGTTTGTGCTGTCTGCTGTAAGTTGTTACTGTTTGTGGTGTCTGCTGTTAGTATTTTGTGTGTGCTGTCTGCTCGAAGTCGTTATCAATTGTACTGCCGTCCGTAAGTCGTTAAATTGTTTTTACGACACACTCATTGTAACGAGAGAAATTACACGGTATCAAGCGAAGTCGTTAAAACGAAATACTACTTTTTATAACGAGTAAGTTTTCTAGTTATTACGAATTAATTATTAATTTACCCTGTCAAAATTGAGCCTATCCGGCTTCTGCCGGAATATCTTTTTTTCCTAATTTCAATTACAGACTTGCATTATTTAATATTTAGTTCTCATTTCTAAGGCCTAAATAATTTTAATGCAGATTTAGCATGCATAAAAAAGAACAGCATTTTATTCAATTTGTTTAATACAAAGAGTATAAAATGGTTTTTAGTTGGCAAGCACGCTGATTTGTTATTAAGGTTTTCAACAAAGATACATATCAAATGTAATCCCTCTCTATATAAACATCGAACGATTGATAAAAAATAAAAACCCGAGTTGTCAGTGACACTATCATTCTATAAAACACAGGTAAATTCATCGTTAAGTATTAAAGTTAAATAAATAATAATGAAAGCACACGTGTCATTTTTTTTATTTAACAATGACACATATTACATTTCTGATGTGTCCCACAAAACTCTCGGCACAGTAGAGCCAACCCTCGTCACAGCCCAATAATTATCTCCTCCTTTTTTTGTTTAACTGAGTGCAGTCTCGAAACCGTTGGAACATTGCGTTGGCCTTGAGTCATTAATGAAACTGAAAGAGCAGTTTTCCGGTTTCGTTATAATCAAGGAAACAGGAAAAACTAGAAGTTTTGGTTATCTTTTTGGAATCACAGTAAGTATACATCATATAGCTTATTATGTGAATTCTTTGTGGTTGATTGCTTTAAAAAATAACAATCATAAAACAAACATGGAGTATAATCAGATCGATACTTTGGGTCCTTGTGTTGATCAAAAATAATAATCAAAGTTCGTCTCTAACAGATTCAAGCTGAAATAGGGTTTAATGATAAAATATGAACGCATAAAAAAAAACATTTATAAAAACAACCATATACTTTGGAGTAGGTGTGAACCCCCCTCGCCCCCGCGGAAAAAATTCCTGGATTCGCGCCTGATATACTTCATGTGGAAGTATTCCGGGGCCCTCTTCCTCCTTTGTCTGACTTAGGTGTTACAACCCTCTGCGTTTAATTTCACCATTTTTTTTTAAAAATTCCCAACATTGATTTTCAATTAGATTCAAATGGCAATTAGTATGAAGTATGAAGCGTTGCTTACGTGTTCAGAAATGAATGTTATGTATAACCATAATAAAAGGAAAATTATCTCTCTCTCTCTCTCTCTCTCTATATATATATATATGAATGTAATAATAATGAAAATTCTGTGCATGATAAATATCTGTCGCTTTTATATTGTTTATACAGAGATCGAAATACGTTAAAAATACTGAGTGCAAATGTTTTAGGTCAAATGTTATTAATAGCTGTAAAAACTATTGGCTAAAGAAAATAGAAGTCAATGCCTGTGTCATATTGGTTTTGAATAAACTGACTACATCTATATGGGTATGGTCCACTATTTTTTCCCCACAGGCGACAATGTTACCGTTACTTCACATAGCAATGTCCCTAATTTTCGATGAGCAGTGACTGACCTTTCAAATCAAAGCACATCAGGTTGTCTTTCCTTATTTAAATATCTCGAGATAGCATGTCAAATTTGTTACCCCGCAAAATGCGTCTGTCTGCGTAAACCTCTGCAAATGAAAATGAAAGTAGGAAAGTCCATTCTTTTCACTGTTAATAATTCTGCTGATCGTCTTGATCAAATTACATTTGCCAAGATTTTTGTAAGGTAACATGCTCTTTATCAATAAGTATGAGGCTCAATTTAGTACATTATCTTTTTTCCCGTCATTATATTTTTTATTCAAGTCTGCAAATTAAGGAATTGTAATTTTTTCTGCACTACTTCTTCCCCCAGCGATTCTAAAAATAATTAGAGGCATGTACCCATATAATGGTCTCCTTTACTAAATTCTGGTAGGACAAATTATCGGACATTAACATGTGACGATCAATGTCTTGAGAAGATATTTCTCTTATCAGAGGGTCGTTCCACCTTCAACTTACGTATATAACGTGTTCTTCGTGTCTTTTATAGACGGTCCTTTTTTAATCAAACGTGCATTTGAAAAAAAAAAAAAAAACCCTTCAAGGTCCATGTTTTTGTGCTTTTAAAGAAGCATATTTGGAATGTACATTTGTATACACTTAATGTAGAGGAGGGAAGGGGATATGAACAAACACCCCCTTTAATCACCTATTGAGTTTATATAGCAATTTTGAGAAAATGTGGATAAGATGAAATTGTTTATTTTCACTCTAGCAAGGAAATTAACAGAGCACTAAAATTAAATTCAAGAAATAAAATGCAAAGTTGTGAAATATGAAATAAACGTTAGTTTGATTAATTGTGTATATATATTCTATTTACTTCGAAAGTATTTCATATATATAATCATAATCAGATTATATACTTTTTTCCCTCTTGCAGACTTCTATTGATCATGCCAGCTATATGTACAAGGTGTGGTTGGAGGGGTTTAGGGATGATTTCTTTGTTTGTCATCAGTACTTGTTTGGTATGTATATAATCTTCATGATAAAATCATAAAAGTCATTTTGTTCTGTAAATGTTTAGGCTTGGTAAATATCTACATGAAATTTACACTTAAGGCTAATTAAGATGAAAGATTTATAAAGTATTTTGTACAAAGTTTTTTAAGATGATTATCGTGATTATAACCAGTTTTTTTTTTTTTTTTTTTTTTTTTTTTTTTTTTTTTTTTTAATTTTTTTTTGCAAGCTAGGAAATTATTTTTTCATAACCATTATGAAATTAATATTTTGTAAGATATTGCATTTTTCTCTGTGATCAATGCAAAGTTAGAAGAAAGACAAAGATGACCTTTTATACATTCATTTTCAAGTGTAAAGGGTTTGAAATGTTTATTTTTTTTAAAAGGACAGATGGGTAAAATTTCAGAATGCCTGAAATGTTTTCAGTATTCTAATTTGAACTCTTCTCTTAAGAGCAAAATTCAAATGCTCAGTACTACATATATTGAGATAGAAATGTGCCTTGAAAATATAGATTTAGGGACAATCCAACCCAGTACTAAGATTTTTACCTCTAAGTCACACATGATCTTAGATAGCCTTACATTAGTCTTCTGAAATAGACTATTCTGATAATTTTGATTTTTTTTTGTTAATTGAAAATCTACAAATTAAACTTAGTTAATAGTTTGACATTTTGAGTTAAATAAATGGAATGCTGCAGAAACTGGAGAACTAAAATTTACATCTGGATATTAATCACTGATGAAATTAAATCCATGAGAAAATTCTATTGTGAAATGTACTTTATCCTGAATATTAAGTTAGAATTTTGGCCAACTGGAAAAAAAAACAGAGACTGTAATTAACAGTAGTGTTTTTCAAATTCAGGCTTTACTTGGAATCATCTCGGTGATATATGGGATAATGTTAATGTTGAATGGCGGAGCCCTTAGAAACCCTGATATAAGTCCAGTCCTGAACAGCATCACAATGGGTTCACTTAAACCTGGAGTCCTAATCAGCATCCTGCCAATATTGCTGATTGTTATTGGAGTGATAACATTACTAGGAGCTGTTCTGGGTTTACTCATAACAATATTATTACAGAGGAAGGTTTTCTTAATTATAGTAGGTATTTTCGCAAGGTTAGAGGGGTCTGGTGAAACATTGCAATGAATAATTCATGTAATTCAGAACCTTGATAGTGCTTTAATTTTGTACATGTATATTTTAATAGTATTCTTTATTCTGTATATATCATATGGAAATTAATTTTCCTTTTCTTTTTAGTGCTCTATTCTGAGTTTCGTGGTATGTTTGGGAACCATAGTCATTATTGCTCTGTTTATCTCCGGAACTCAGGTACAAGATTATTTTTCTTTATGTAAGATGATTAAACATATAATATTATTTCATTTAGCATGATATGTACTGCTTTATGTTTATGGAATAATTTGTGATATTAAACTTCACATTTCTTAACATTCATACCCCCCCCCCCCCCCCGAAAAGAAAATCTGACGTACCTCAAATAACATAGCTTTGGATGGGTATTGCTGATGAAAGAAAAGCCCAATTGTTTTACTTAATATTTTCTATAATAAATAAGAAAGTTTGTAAAATATATAGTAGAATGGATATTAATTATGTATGGAAGGTACATAATCCAACCTTAATTAAAATTTTTTTGGTGTGTGTAGTGTATACAGGTTGTAGATATCGTCATGTGTATCATTCTCATACTTTAATGGATATTGTCAGAACTTCTCAGTATCAAATAATATTATCTTGATACTTCACAAACATTTATGGTTTGGAAATGAAGCATTGCTTCATAAATGAACTCTTGATTAATGAACTCTTAAGTTCATATTTAAGGTCAATACCATGGCACTTGTTGTCTGGTGTCTTAAATGGTTGTCAATAAGAGCAGTTTTTTTCATTTAGATTTGAAAACATAGCAAAAACGTTAGGCTACATGTTCACATGGTGTCATACAAACCTATAGTATAACAGAACTTTTCTTATTTACTTTCTCTTTTTACTTGGCTATTTAATTACTACCAATAACATCAGGAAGTGTCCTTACTTCAGGGGGGTAAATAATAAGTAAAATTAAAAACAAGTTAACTCAAATGCCCTCTAAAAAGTTGCATCAGAAATTGATTTACTTATATAAAAATTTCATAACATTTTATTCAAGTTTCATTGGTAACATGCCTTGAGGTTGGGCAACAATATGAAGGAATACGTGAACACATCTAAAAATATATTTTCAAAAATAACAATTCTAGGTTGTAAATTTGCATGCATTTGATTCTTATATCGGATTATTATTTTTTCCCAAACTTCTTAAGTAAAAAAAAGCAAAGCTACAAATTTAAATGTAAGCAACCCTCATAAAAATAAAGATTGTCAAATAATTATTCCAGGCCATTTTGGAACCAGAATATGCAGTTATATGAATACAACAGGCATATTAAGTTTTGATTTGTAAAGACACTTCTATGATAAAAAGAGAAAATCTATATAGACATGTTTCCACCCCACCCCTCCCAAAAAAGGATACAAAATTGTCATAATATGATTTAGTTGTAAACTAACTAAGTATGACCGATGCATATAAGGAATAACATTCAGAAATATTCTTCAGATTTAAACAAATACACGTGCCATCAAATTTTGATTGCAGGATTATGTTTGGCAATAACAGAAATGCATAGTTAATAATATCTTGGATTTATTTTTCAAGCAGAACTGGTTAAAAGAATTCAAAAATAAATAAATAAAAAATAAAAAAAATGGAAACAATCAACATATAATAATTATATGAATTAAGATTTTTCAAATAAAAATCAATATTGGTAATTATTCATTTGAAATTCATTTGTAAATAGAGAAAGCTCCTCCTGTTTAACTTTATTTACCAGTCAGATTATGCTAATTTGTAAATATTATTACAACTACATACTGCAATAAAACCCTACATGACTACTTTGTGCTGTTTTGACCGCATACATTTCTGGCAGTAAACTGTATCATTTTTGTCACGTGACATCAAAATATTTTAATGTATAATTTTAGATCAGTAAAGAACAGATGGTTGAAAGACTGCAGGACAACTTTACAGATGTGTCAATAAACAGCAGTAATGAACTGTCTAATGCCTGGAATGTAATGTTTCTGGACGTAAGTATATGTATTGTACACTTGATTATGTTGTAAGTGTTGGTATTGGTTTAATTGATTTGAGTGTGCGTTTTGATATTATTAAATTGTTGGTGCATTGTTAGAATTGGTATAATTGATAACTGATTTGTCTGTAAGTATTGGCATAATTTATTTCTTTGTAGGTATAAGTATAATAAATTTGATGGAAAATATCGGTGAAATTGATCTGGTTGTTTGTATTTGTATGTTGTTTTTAACGTCCCTCTCGAGAATTTTACACTCATATTGAGACACCACCACTTGCTGGTGGAGAGCTGCAAATTTTGTCCTATACTCAGCACTTATGGCCATTGAGCAGTGAGGGATCTTTTTCGTGCCAGCACCTACTGCGACACGGGACCTCGGTTTATACGGTCTCATCCGAATACGTCTCCACGTCCCACAGTGGGATTAGAACCCGCGACGTAAGGTTGTAAGTACAATGTGTATTTGTATAAGTTGATATGGTCGTAAGTATTTTTATTATTGATCTGATGGTTAGAATATTTATTATTGATTTGGTGATAAGCATTAATATAATTTATTGATGGAAAATATTGGTATAATTAATTTTGTTGAAAGTATTGGTGTAATTGAATCGATGGTTAGGATTGACATGTTGGTATGTTTGAATTGGTATTGAAGGATTATGTATTGTTTAATGCTGAACGGCAGTATTTCAGTCATATTTCGGCGGTATTTTACATGTATAATTTATATGGGTATAAATGTTGGCATATAAAGTATTGGTATAATTGATTTAATAGTAGAACAGCAAAACCATGATCAGCTTTCTTTACATGGAAGCATCCACAGGTAGTGTAGATTCAGGTTCACTCAAATTATTACCCCAGGGGTAGGGAGAGCCAAAATGGACAATCAAATTTTTACATTTTTTACATTAGGAATACATAGAAAAATCACTTCAAAAATCTTCATTTCAAGAATGGCACAACCATGTTGATTCATATTTATATGGATCCAGCCACAGGTATATGTATATTCAATTTTGTTCAAATCATGACCCCCCTGGGTTATGTGTGTGTGTGTGTGGTTTACAATGGACAGTAAAAGTTTTACACAGGAAAACAGGAAAAATCTTTTTCTAAAGATAGCAAAGCCATATTCATTTATATTTGGATATATGGATTCATCAACAGGTAGTGTTTATTCAAGTTTGTCCATATCATGACCCCCGGGGGTAGGTTGGGGTCACAATTAGGATAAAAGTTTTTCACAGGAATACATAAAAAAAAGCCTTTAAAAATCTTCTCAAGAATAGCAAAGCCATGATTAGTCATATTTATATGGAAGCATCCTCAGATAGTGTAGATTCAAGTTTGTTCAAAACATGACCCCCGGGGGAAGGATTCGGCTTCAATAGGTGATCAAAGCTTTACATGGGAAGAAATAGGAAAGAAACGAATAAAATGCATTGTGGCCCATAGGCCTCTTGTTATGTTTGATTTTATAGAAGACTACGTAAATGGGAGCAATTCAACCAACCTATTTAAGAGATAAGATATATATATATATATATATATATAAGAATGAGATAAAATAAATAAAAGTATATATTGGATGTTTAATATTCAGGATGAATTTATGCTATTTTTCATTCTATAAAGACAACGGTACTAAATGTATCAATTCTGCATATGAAGAAAACAATGAAATTATTCCTTTCATCATAATTTCTTAATAATATCGTTTCTTTTTATTATAATTACATGTATCAATCTACAAAGTATACGCATGAAAGCATAAATCCGTAAAAAGTTGGAAAATCCAAGATTAACGTTGGAAAATCCAAGATTTAAGATGGAATTACCAACTTCCAAGCTGGTAAAGACAGGATTAAAGTTGGAATTTCTAACTTTAAAGTTGGAAAGGCCAACTTTAAAGCTAGAACTACCAACTTTAAAGTTGAAATTACCAACTTTAAATTTGGAACTACCGACGTTGAAGTTGGATAAGCCAACTTCAAAAAAGATTTGTTGGATGTTGGCATATAAGACTTTTAGATCATTATGGCATGAAAATAGTGCGTAATTAAAACCTACACGTACACATGCATTTTCCGAATAGAATGAAAATTCAAAAGGTATTGATGCTATCATTGCCAGTAAATTCTAATTTTAAAACTCTTTTTATTAATGTTCGTGTTTGAGAATGTGAAGAAAAAAATAGTAAGCGTTGAAAGTTAGTGATAAAAGGCTATATTATATAGGATAATCTCATGATAGGTTTATATGCAGGTTATTGAAGTACAATCCTGCTCTCTATATAGCTGATGTTTTATATTTGTTTGTATTTGTAATATTTTTACCTGAAGATAGTTTATGTTTAAATTGTATTTCATGGGTTACAGTTGGTTTATGGTTATGATGTATTTCATGGGTTACAGTTGGACTGCTGTGGAGTAAATGCTGTAAACGGTACCACTAATGATTTTGACAAAACTCCTTGGTGTACAACTAAAGGTGACTGCCAACAAACAAATGCTGAAATTCCAAAGACCTGCTGTGTCAACGTCACAGAAAACACATACTCTGCAGCCTCTGACAAATGTTATTCAGAAGTCATCAAGAGAACCTATAAACCAAAGGTATAATCGACATTTATCAACTATAGAGTTAGTCAAAACAGAAAACACACATAGTTTATTCTAGACTATTTATTTCACAATCTTGTTTATCATCAGGGATGTTTCGAGGTAATAGAAGTTCAAATCAGTGCCTTCTCTTCAACTATTCTCGGCGTTGGAATACCAATTTTATTTCTAGAGGTATATCTTTATTATCGTATTTGTTAATGTGGTTTGGTGAGGATATATATATATATATATATATATATATATATATATATATATATATATAGAGAGAGAGAGAGAGAGAGAGAGAGAGAGAGAGAGAGAGAGCACTAAAATGACCAACGACACGAACAATAGAAATTGTCAAATTTTCGGGACGCCCTGTCTCTTTCTCAGGACAAAGAAAAAAGTTAAGAAGTCATAAAAACAAAGGAAATAGAAAAATCAAAAACGGCTAGCACTACTACTAAACTACAGCAGACTATTTATTTACAATGTTACATGTTGAATTTTATAATCAGTTGTAAAGAAATAAATCCGGACCGCTATGAAATATGTCCGGTCTCTCGGGTGTACTCTGGTGAAGTGCGATTTACATAATTGAACGGCCAAGCAGTAAATCGTACACTGTCTTATTCTCTCAAAATAGCTTAACTTTACATGATAAAAAGAAACTAAAGAAAGATAATTTAGATGTATTATAAATGTCATGTGGAAAAGTTTTAGGACTGTTTATCGGATAAAAGAAAAAATAAACAAAAATGTAAGCAACAAATCTATGCGTGGGTTGTTCCAGAATTGATTATGCGAATTAACAGTAAAGTTAACACTATATAGAGAGAATAAACTTGTTTGTTACAATCAGGAATTGGGTCTAGTTTACGTTCATCCTGGTGAAGTCATTTAGTTTGTTGATACCATTAGGGCGGAATCACTTCAGTCTGTGCATCCAGAAAGCAGTTGGTCATTTTTAGTGCTTTCTATAAATTTCCATCCTTGACCTTGTATCTATTTAGTAGATCCGACACTTAGAATATACAGTGTTGTTGGTTTTTGTAGTGCTTTCTATATATATATATATATATATATATATATATATATATATATATATATATATATATATATATATATATATATATATATATAATGTATTAAAAGCCAGAATTAATTTTTTGCTAGTAGTGCAATTACATGTGATTTGGTAGAAACTAAATACTTCATCTGATTACATAAAATTGATGATCATGCAGTAGTCACAGCCCAAACATATATACATGTAGCTGGTATTTTGTTTTCTTGAAAATAAATTTGTCAAATTGCAAGGATACATCAAAGTGAGTTGCCAATAACGACATTTTTTTTAAAGATTTGAATCTCAGTTGATATCTGGAACACTGTTGAATGCTGAGGTATTTATGTCCCTACCCCTGTGGTTAACGGTATTTTGTTTTTATATGCAGTGGATTAAATGTTTAATTCATGGAATTGAAACTTTTCAGATACTTTGCGGTATTCTTGCTGTCGTATTATGTTTCAAAGATGATTTCCTGAATCCAGAAGGAGCCAGTTTTAAAGAAATTTGCAGGTCGTTTTGCAACCCTGAACAGAAACCTAGTCAGGGAAATGAACAAGAATTGCAAGAAATGGCACCACTTAAATAAAAACAAGGATTCAATTTATGAGAGGGTAATTATAACTCAGTCTACCTGTGTCTTTTTGCATTTCCTTTCAGTTTGGACGAGAATTATTCGAATACAAAAAGGATTTGTTATCAGTTTTTGCCAGTTAATAGAGTGTTTTGGAGGTGAGGAAAACCAAAAAAGTTGGGAAAAAAGAGGAAGTATACAGAATCACTTGATATAATTTTTGAAATTTATGAACATTATAAATTAAGTAGATCCTATGTAGAATATGTAGCAGGGCACATTTTTCACATTTCGAAAAAAAGAAACATTTGTAAAGATATAAATCTTAATGTGCAGGTTCTTTATTTGGTAACAATAAACTTAATATTGATCTAAATGAACGGTTCGTCTCATTGTTATCGTAGTTTTCTATTTTTTTTTGTAAGAGGTTGTTAAATAAATAGAGGATATTCAATGTTTTGTAGATGAATATGGAATTAATCACACGAGTGGGACAAATTTTTTCTTTTATATTTTCACGAGTGCGAAGCACGAGAGAAAATACACAAAAATCCTGTCTCAAGAGTGAAATAAATTCCATATTCATCAACAAAACATTGAATTTTCTGTTTATTACATTTTCATTGAATTTCCCTTAGTCTTTTATAAAACGGTGTCATATACTGTGACGTCATAGGTAAGCGGTTGAGACGTCATGAGAGATTGAAAAACTTTGTAAACATTGATTTTTATCAACGTATTTGGAGAAACTTTGGTAGTTTTAGTATCTGTCAGGATGGTTCATTTACTTTCTCTATCTTATGACAGGCAAGGGAGTTTTTTTTTTTTAAAACCCACTCTACTGAAGGTAAGGAAAATCGAGAGTTTTGCCGCATTTCTGATATTCTCACACGGTGAGAATACCATTTTGATACCCTTTTATTCCATAGATAAATTACAGTATTTCACTGTTGAAAATGTAGTAATTTCTTTTAGCTCAGTAGTTTTAGTATAACATTTCCAATATGTCTTAAAATTTATCAAATTAAGGCAGCTTTATCTGTGTTCATGTAAGACCGTGTTTGTATAAGTTTAAATATTGTATAAGCGCCAGTCTAAGGTATTGTTGGCATGAAAAGGTTATGAATAATAATTTATTAAGTTTACTCCGTAAGTTCATGTATGTCCCCAATTTTGATAATTCAGTGTTTAATGCTTTAATAGACAATGCTGTACTCCGTAAGTTCATGCATGTCCCCAATTTGGATAATTCAGTGTTTAATGCTTTAAGAGACAATGCTGTACTCCGTAAGTTCATGCATGTCCCCAGTTTTGATAATTCAGTGTTTAATGCTTTAATAGACAATGCTGTACTCCATTATTTCATTAACTATGTATAAATTCTATTGTTACTCATAGTATAATCACATGTACCTGAAACTGACAATCACCAAAATAAGATTTGGGATAATTGCTATATTTGCTGTTCCTGATTATTGTTAATGATACGCGATATGTGTAATCCATCAAATTTCCAGCTGTTTATATTTGCCTGTTCTAAGTCTGGTTTTGTTTAACAGGAATGTGAACTTGGTCACTGTCCATTATCTTCAAGTGTACATATAAATTACTTTTTTTCAAAACATTTTTGATAGTGCTTTATTATTTCTGTTGTAGTGTAAAAATACCGCTTTGATTTGTCTTTGCTAGAAGTATTTTGTCCTAATTAGGATACTATTTATGCTTGGCTTATCATACATATCTGTTTTTACAAATTTACATTAATATTTTGTGTTGTGATGTACCTTTTCCTTTGATTCTACAAACGCTACAATTTTGATGGATTCCTATTTTTTAACCATAAATGTTGTTAATTATGTACAATGTATTGTTTCTTATTTTTGTTTATGTGACATTAATAAAAAAAATTAATCCTTTATCTTCTGCTTAGACTTATTTATGAGTACACAGAATAACTATATGATACTGGCAGACGCGTCGCCCAGTATAAAAAGGCGTCACTCTTTTGTTGCTCTATAAGGGGCACAAACTCAAGGAGTTCATTCGGTGCCCCTCGGATAATCCCCAGGGATATTAAACATATGTCATATGTACAGTCTTCAGATTCCCAGTTCTGGTATGAAACCGATACTTCATACAAAAATTTGAAAGAATGTAAAGTTTCTGTAAGAGTGAATGAAGATTTCATTCCTGACCCCGTGTCTTCTATTTCAAAATGTTCTGCGAAAAACTGTAAAACTTGTGACATTTTGATAACTAACACTTCTTTCACTAGTAGTCTTACTGGACAGAGCCTCTATATCAAAACTTGGGAAAATCTGAACTGCAGATCTTCTAATGTTGTCTACGGAATAGAATGTAATCTTTGTGGACTTATTTATGTTGGTGAAACCAAGGGTCCACTTCATAAAAGAATATCGGGTCACAGATTTCAAATAAACAACGGGGGCCAGCAGCTTCTTTACAAACACTTTAATTTACCTGATCATTCAATTTTATCAATGAAAGTTAGAATTCTAAAAAGATTTACCATCATACAAACAGTCCATCACTGAGTACACCTTTCCGTAGACAACGAGAAAAATTTTGGTTTAGTAAACTAAGGACGGCCTTTCCCTATGGATGCAATGACAATGTCGATAGTGTTGGGAATCTTTCCAGTCCACAGTGTGTCAATGTCAATGTGATGGGACTTTTCTGCCATACAAAGAGACGTAAACGTAGTCATGGGCATCGGTCTTACAACATTGTCTTTGTTTGTAAGGCTCATTATATTAAATGTATTTTAGAGGAACTTGGATTTAATTCCACAAGTGGTAATCCAACTTATACTCATAGTTCCCTTTCTAAGGAGGAAATTCTTCAAAAATCATTTGTCAGTTTTGAATATTTTTAATATTCCCAACAACCCAAATGAATTTGAATTACCATATCTATATTGGATTCCGAAACTTCATAAAAATCAAACAAATATACATAGCGGGTTCCAGTAAATGTTCTACCAAGCCTCTTCCTTTACTCCTCACTTAGATATTAACAGTAGTGAAGGAGAAACTTCAACAGTACTGTGCAAGAATATATTCGAGAAGTGGTGTAAATCAGATATGGATACTAAAAAATTCAAAGGAATTTTTGGAACATTTGAAATCACAAAATTTTACCAAAATCAGCAACCTAAAAACTTACGACTATTCAACTTTATATACAACTATTCCCCACGATAAATTAAAGTCCAGAGTTTCTAACATTGTTGACAGCTGCTTTTTCAATAAAAATAGAACTCGTAGATATACTTACCTTGTCATTGGTCATTTGCAAAATTACTTTCTTAAAAATTAATCTGATTGTACACACAAGTACTCTGAAGTTGACATTAAAAAGATGCTTGAGTTTCTGATTGACAATATCTATGTGGTTTTTGGAGACCAGGTCTTCCAACAAACTATTGGAATTCCCATGGGTACCAATTGCACCCCGTTATTAGCAGATCTTTTTTTGTATTCATATGAAGCAGAATTTGTTCAAAATCTTGTACGTGAAAAGAAGAAAACACTTGCTGTGGCCTTCAACTCGACATTTAAATATATCGACGACGTATTGTCAATAAACAATGGCTATTTCCATTCATATGTCGATACGATATATCCCGGTAAGCTTGAGATAAAAGATACCACAGAGTCTGACACATCTGTTTCATATTTGGATATTTTATTAGAAAAAGACGTTAATGGTAATCTTAACAACAAAACATTATGACAAACGTGATGACTTTAACTTTTCAATCGTCAACTTCCTTTACTTGTGCAGCAATATATCCTTATCACATGAATACGGGGATTTTATGTCTCATTTGATTCGATACGCAATAGCATGCTCTACGTATGAACAATTTCTAAAACGAGGTAAATTATTGACAAACAAGTTGATTAAACAAGAATATCAGCAGGCTCGTTTAAAGTCATCATTTCATAAATTCTATGGTCGATACAATGACCTTGTCAGCAAATACAATCTTTCATTAAGTCAAATGCTGACTGACTTTTATCATACTAATTGTTAGGCCATTATTTAAATACTGATTCGTCGACGGATTTTTCCGTTATTTCCTGATCATAACAAGGAGCATATGGCGGATGTGACCGGTCGGCAGGGGATGCTCACTCCTCCATGGCACCTGATCCCATCTCTGATGTTTTGGAGGTCCGTGTTTGCTCTACTCCTATTTTGTAATGTTAAATGGACTTCTGAGCTCGAATACTGTTCGTTATCTCCACTTTTTTCATTACATAAACATGAATAATGTTGGTTGAAGATCAAACTTGAGTGCATTGAATTATGTTAATGAATCATCCGTCTTAAGATCTAAAGACTATCACTCCAGCAAGTAAGAGAAAGGTACATATTTGTAGGCTTTCATGTTTTATTGTTTGAAAATTGATTTTGCATATTTTCCTATATATTTCTTAGTGGGTTCAAAACCTTATCGTTCCAGTGAAAAGGGTCTTAAAAATATTTCTGATAAATTAAGAGAACAGACCCAGTTTTATGAATGAATGATATTCCGGGGTGTCTAAACTCACTTGCTGACGCTGTTTTTATGATATTAAGTCCAATAAATGATGTTTGCTGACAATGTTTTTACTGTCATCATTAGTAGATATACAACAAGAAGAGTTTTATTTTTCTATAAATACTGCTATGATTGTTATCTCAATATAATTGCATCTAAAAACGAGGTACATGTATTAGTTTTTACAAAGGAGGCAGGCTCTCTAAAACATTGTTCTGTTTTGCTTGATGTTGAACGTGGATATATTTTTGAATTCATTTTGCTTTATTTAAAAGTAAAGGAAAATGAATTTATTTCTTCATGAAGAAGCAATAAAACATTTTTTTTTAAATAATGAAAATTTATTTCATTGAGTCCAGACATTAACACCATTACTCGCATTTTGACCATATGGTTAAAACTTTTTTTGTAAACATCTGAAATTTGGGGTTATTCTAATTATTTTTTTTGAAACATAATAACATCCCTTGCCCTACATGTACCACTGACAAAGTTTATTCTTGCTCTGTGATAAAATTCATCTGAACATATTCTTGATGTACATAAATGTTCAACAATTTGTGCGTTACTGTCTGAATAAATAGATTTATACAATATTTTGACATTATAAGATAAATGATATGTTGTTGGCATAGACTTGAAGATCTTTATATGTCTTTTCCACTTTTATATGATGTGTTCGGTGAATCTAAAATACTGACTGTGCCTGATTTTTCATCCCGTTATGGCTCCATCAATTCTCCTATCACCAGTATTTAAGTATTCTTGATTTAACATCAGTTAAAGTAAGTTCTAAGATGTACTTAAAGTTTATTTATTCAATACAATAATAAGGAATTGAATTTACAATTTTCTTCACATTCTGACAAAAACGTTGTTACATTTCTTGCAAGAAATTTTGATCAGAAGAATTATCTAAATTTACAAATATGTTTAAACAAAGTTAAATAAGGTACTTTTTGCATATAAACTCACGGACTGTAAATTGAAAGAGGAGGACGATATAAAAGCGTACGCAGACAAGAACGATATTTTATTAGATGTTTGATGAAAATACATTTTCTCTTTACATTACCTTGTGATAATAGTGAGGATGAAAGACATTATTCAAATAAAGTGACAGATAATACCTTTAAAAAATTTCATATTATGAACATATTATGAAGTGTGACTTGACTGAACTAGCTCATGAACAATTAATGCGAATTGATACCGGTAGTGTTTATATAAAAATTTTATTTATTAATATTAATG